TGTTTTATGTCGTATAAGATCTAGGAATTGAATTGAGCAATATAAAGGAAAACATTTTTCAGTACTATCTCATGGGTTTTTTCCCCTTCTCTTCTCAGCCTTTGAAAAAGTAATTTCCATTGGCCTTTCACACCTGTGCCCTTCCCAGTCAGGTGTGTAATAACCCACTGCTCCTGTAGAACTCACTACAGCTGCTGACATCTATGTCGGGGAGTCGGTGTTGGTAAGATTCTTTGGGATTCTCCACCATGAAGCGGTCTATCTGCATACAAAATATGATTTCCAGTTGACTGCATAAACCTCTTGTCCCCAAGGGGAGCAATGAGTCACTCCGTGTTAGTGCCTCCCGTCCAGCAGCTATGAAACCACATGTCTCAAATGCTCCAGCAGATCTAAGGCAAGGTCCTCCAATGACTCACATAGCAATGAAAGGAAGCTGTCTGATTTGATAACAGCAGAAATTCAGCCTGGGCTCACAAAGGTCCTTACAAGCTGTGTGTCACACGGAGTTGTGTTCGGCTGCAGGGAGATAGACAACAATTATTGTACTCTTCTAGTCTGCAGAGGAGAGAAATAAAGCAGGGTAGAAGGGATTCGCAGGAAGCCACTGGGTCAGTCAGGCACAAAACCTAACAGACACGATTTCTAATCAAACACACCGTGCAGAGGATCCCAGCTGACAGAGAATTGCAGTGCCACCTGCATTCCAGGCTTCATTCCACATGTATGGAAATCCTAACAGCTGAGGTTACAAACCCCAGGAAAAAAAATCCAAAAACTTACCTTAAATCTTTTGGAAATCAGGAACTTCATTTCCTTGTAGCAATGCCTGCCTAGGTACCAACATGTGTCATGAGGAGGTATTGTAGCATTTCTGCTAACACTCATAGCAGCTACTGCAGATGTGGAATTGCTTGTACATCTATATTTTGCATCTGCTTACTAGTGGTTTTCAGACTTTTTTTCAGAGAGGGCTGGCTTTCATAGTGCTTTGGATTGCAAGATTCATAGCATGAACTTGGTGTAGTCCCCTTGCAGATCCCTTAAACCGATTTTCATACAAGTTTACAAGTTTGATTCCTCAGTTTTCTGCAACTTTTTCAGAAGTTCCAGCCTGGATTCTCTTTCCATCTCTTTTTCTGAGACTACAACTCAGACTGATCAACACTTGACAAAATGTTTTGAGTCTTCAGGTTACTCCTATGGCCATGATTAGATGACTCAGGAGCAACTTCCTGTCACATCTAACCAACAACCCATGCCAGGAAAAGGTTTTGACCAGTTTGATTCCCCAGACTGACTCATCATCATGTTAGATGAGCACGAGAAAGAGGGACTGGGCCAGCCCCACCTTAAACTGGTTTAAGTGCCCACAGCCTCACAACCATGGTAACACCAAAGTGTAAGTAGAGACACTTCTCCTTTTCTTGCTTGCCTGATTCTGCCCTCCATGATGACAGCACACATTTTTGAGCAGTGGGACAACAATCTACATCAGAGGATGGATCCAGCTGAGAAAAACAGGAAGGGAAAAAAAAAAAAAAAAAAAAAAAAAGGAAGTATTTTTTCCAGATCTTCAGGTGCCTTGATGTAGAGGGAGAGAAAAGAGCTCCCTCAGCCATCAATGCCACTGATGGAAATCTACATAAAATGAGCATCCAAGTCTCAAATAAAGAAGATCCCTGGAAGCCTGGGACTGCAGCACAGCTACTGCAGCAGCAGCCTGGTATCATGCATGGAGCCTTAGCAGAGCAGGTTTTGCTTGGGTTTTTCAAGAGTCATTTACTCCTCAGCAGATAGATGACAAATCAAGAAAACTAGAACACCCTAGGCATCAACTGGAGGTTCACTGACACACACTAATGGTTATCTGCCTTCTCACATGTCAGATTCACTCTTTATTCATGCAGGAGCCAAAGCACAGAATACATTTTGGAATCAGAAAAAAATTGCTGCTCTCAGTGATATCCCAGTTCATAACTGTGCTTTAATGGATCTTGACTCCACAGTTACCAGGAAGATTTACTCCTCACTTAAAACTGGAGGGGAGATGATGATCAGTAAAAATCAAGGTTTAGGATCTAGTGACTCTTATGGGCAACCTAACTTTTGGAGAAGAACAAGGTAGATAGAAGTGCATACCTTTAAATCACCCCTCCCGGAGCTTGGATCTCACCTGAGCAGGAATACATGCACATCCATATAAACAGGTAGTGCTTTTGCTAAGGTGTGTTTGCTTTATCATTATTTTTCTCTCCAGTATGTCACTACAGCTGAGGCTCATTGCAGCCTCATACCTGACAAACAAGGCAGACTTATGAGTGCTGCTTTCAAGCCCACAGGAAAAAAAGATGAGTATTTTAAAAGAAATGCAAGAGGGTCCATACACATATAGAGTGCTTTCCCCTCTCATTTTGTACAGATTCTCATGACCTTGCAGTGCTGTAATAAAGAAATTCACTTCACACTTGATGGTCTGGTTCCGCACGGCTCTACTCACACACCTGCACTACAAATAAAAATGCTTAACCAGCATTTTAGTCACTAGATGAATGTTTTTCCTTTTCTGAGCTTAACCAAGGATTTAGCACAATTTACAGAGAGCAGCTGTATTGCACAGAAAAGCTTTGAATACACGGAACTGCTAACAAGCAGAGGAGGCCTGTGACTTGCTTTTAGAGGTCTGCAGGGGTTAGGATAAGGGAAGTTACAGGCACTTTGGAGAAGACTTCTGGTGAGAAGAGGAACAGATCACAGCGTGATGAAATAGGGGCAGGTCCCTGTAGGGAGAAGCAAGTCAGGAGACAGCCTTGGAAGCAACACCAGACATTTGCACCTGACGTGGAAAGACCAGTGAAGAAAACTCTTACTTCAGTCCAGCAGATGACTTTAACAAAGGTTCAGCACACAAGGAGGCCCAAACTTCTACTTTGTGGGAAGACACACTGAGCCAAAACTTTGTTAGAACAGATCCTCCACTAGGACTTCATTGCAGAAGTCAACTCTGACCCAGCATAGCAAAGAAACTGGCTGTGCACAATTAGAGAAGGATTTGCCTGCATGAATAAATCTGTCTGCAAAGCTGTGCAATGCCTTACCTTTCACCCTCACCTCCTTTCAAGTCAATGGAAACCAGGCAAGAGAAGTTCCTTCTCTCTCAAAAGAGAAACCTAAAGCAGCTCAGGTGAACTGTGCCCTAATATTTCCTCTTCTCTCCACTGATCAAGCAAGCCTGGGGCAAATTCCTCCATCACCTGCAGGTGTCTAACCACAGGAATCTCGCCACCACCACCTGTGTAGCTTCCAGCAGACATTTTATTCTGTTCCTAGAATTTTATTCCTGCAATGCTCCTGGCTGTTTTAGCTGGCAGGCCTGCCTACCCAGCTGCAGAGTGCATGCAGCCAACACTCTCTCCCTTCCAAGGTGGCTTTTGTCACCTTTTTGCCTGTCTGTTTTCACAGCTGCCGCAGGCGAAGTGTCAGTTTGCAACAGGCTGTGGGGACAGCTTTTTGAGCCCCAAGACAAGACCCAGCTTCTGCAGTTCCTCACCTTGTGGGAGGCCAACCCATGTTGAGGGAAACAGCTGGGACTGGCTGTAGAGTGGGGGGCATGTGGGACCAGCACAAGCCTGATGCTGTTTCAGCAGTGAGGCAGGGGACAGACAGAGTGGGGGGCTGACACCATGCAGCCCATAATGCTTTGTGCAAGAAGCAAGCGACAAATGTAGGGCAGGGGAGGTGGCGTACGACCCCCCCCGCTCTCCAAGCTGATCCTGTGCCATGGGATGTCAGGGTTTGGCAGCTGAGCCGGGCTTAGCTGCCTCCCGGGATTTAGTGTCAGTACGGCAGCATGGGCAGAAATTAGCAGGGCTGAGGATTTTCTTTTGGCAGATGCCAGGAGAACTGGAGCGGCTCAGGGAAGAAAAGTGATGAAGGGTTCCTGTCCCTCCACCCATTTCTTCAATGGGAAAATGAAATCTTACCATTTAGAAATGGAAATTTTGATTTCTAGCGGTATGTAGGAAACCGGAGGCAGAGGAAATGCTGATTAAAAAGCCAATCTGTACCCTTAACGTGCTTGCTCTTTGTGCAGCGATGATTGCCTGCCGGTGGCGTGAAGATACACCTTTCCAATTGTAAAGGGCCCACGGCCATCGGAGAGCCGACTATATTATCAGCAACAGACGGTACAGTTACTAAAAATCCTCTCCAGTAATGACCGACTTTGCTGTGCTGCGGCAGAAATAGTGATGAGCACAGAATTCACACCCAAAGTAGGGCTTTTAATTATTCACGGCTCCATATTCTCCAGAGCTATGCAAACCCGAATCACTCGCTTTGTAGATCCCCAATGCCGAAAACCTCCACAGCTGAATGAAGCCAAGGTCGCTGTGACCTTCCTCTCCCTTCCCGAGGCTGCACAGTCCCACGCTATCCCTTTCCCTTTCGCCTGAAACCCCGGGGCTCCACTCGGGTGACTCCCCGGAGCCATCGGTGTGCCAGTCGCGCATCCGCACGCAGGGGTTCACCTGCCACCTAGTGGGGTTTCCCCATCCCTGCGGCTGCCTCCCCGTATCCCTCTCCCAGGCGGGCAGCGCGGCCGAGCCCGGGGAGGTGCGAGCCGCGGGAAGCCGCGCACGGAGCGGGCGCTCTCCGGGGCTGCGGGTGCGTTCCCACACAAGGGCTGTGCACCGGCGGGGTGCCTGGGCTGTGTCCTTCGGGATGTGAGGGGAATAGTGGGAAACGGAGGGGGTGTGCACCGACCGGGGGGCTGTACCCGGGCGCGCGTGTTCGTGCTGGCGGGGTCTGTGCACGGACGGAGGGGAGGCTCGGGGAGGGGCGTGCACGGAGCTGGGTGCGGGCACCGGTGCGCGGATGTTCCCTGGGAACATCCCTGGGCGGGTGGGAAGCCTGCAAGCCGCGGGAACCGGAGGGCCGTGCAGGGCCGGTGCCGGGGCGGAGCCTCACGGCGGGGCGGGCCCGGCGGAGCGGAGCGAGCGCCGCCTCCCCGGGGCCGCGGGGGGGGCCGGCCTCAGCCTCGGCCTCCCGCTCGGGCCTTGCGTGCTCGGGCCTGGCCGCGCCGGGAGAAGCGGCGATGGAGGCGGCGGGCGGCGGCGGAGCGGCGGGCGGCATCGCCCTGCACGACTTCAGCGGGCAGCTGGGCGAGCAGCGGGTGCACTTCCACGCCATGCGGCTGCGGGACTCGCTCTTCCTCTGGGTGGGCGCCGCGCCCGCCCTGGCCAGCCTGGCCGTCGCCATGTGCAGCCCCCGTGTGAGTGTCGCCGCCGGGTCCCGCCCGCCCCCCGGAGCCCCGCGGCGCTGGGGGGTGGCCCCGCCGCCTGTACCCCGCGCTGCCGGCACTAAGCCGTGCCCTGTGCTGTGCTCCGCTTGCAGGATAGCATCCCGGTGGCCGCCTCGCTCCTGGGGGACCCCTCGGACACCGCCTCCTCCTGCCTGGCGCAGCGCTTGGGTAGGTGCGGGGCCGCGCTGCGGGGAGGCGCCTCCCGCCGGGAACGCGCGGGTCGGGGCCGGGCCGGGCCGCTGTGCTGGCCCCGGGCCGGGCCGGCTGCAGGGGCGTGCGGTGCGCGCTGCCCCGGCCGCAGAGCTGCGCTGCTGCGGGCTGCGCCTGCTTCCATCCCATCCACCGAGTCACTCGTGTCTTCCCATCCGTGTACGACTCTGCGGCTCCTGAGTCAGCGGCCTTGGGCACGCTGTGCGCTACCAGGAGTGAATTGTTTGATATCCTTATCCTGGCTTTGGGTGCGGGGCAGGGCAGCACATGCTGCACCTGTCGAGTGGGGTTTCAGGTGACCTCTTTGTAAAGCTGTGACACCGCTGTGCTGGTGGGCGAGGTGGCCGTCATGCCAGGCACCTGCGTTTTACCTGAAGATGAAGCCAACCTTCATCATGTCTCGCACCTTTTAGTCCCCACATTCCAAGAAGTTCTGGCCTGGGAAGCCCAGGGTTGTCTCGGCTTGATCTGACCGGCCCAAATGGGCACTGCTTGGGATGCTTCCTATTCCCTCATGTGCAGTGTGCCACAGCTACTGCAGTAGCTGAAATCCTGAATCTTAATGACAGCTTGCAAACTCCCATGTCCATACTAAAAAGATTAAAAATACGTGGCCTAATCATCCTTGCCCCTTCTCAGCTCTGACAGCTGTGTCATGCTGGTTGCTCATCATCACCCACCAGTGGCTGGTGCAGCTCCAGCTGGTGAACTGCTGATGTGCTTGTTACCAAGTTTTAAAAGCAACATGCTGAGCTGCTCAGTCTCACCTTACTTCCTCTGTTTCAGATGGAAAGGCCGCAGAATTATTAATGAGCTGTGTGCTGATCTCCATTTCAGACAGTATGTCCTGAGTTTGTATTGTCAGGCACTTTCATGAGTCTACAACACCTTCTTCTCCATGGCCTCATATAAAAAAGGATTGCTCTCAATACTAATCTTTGAAAAACGGTGTTAGCATCTTTTCTTCTTCACAATAACTTCTCTATGAAAGAGACTGTTTTAGTTGACCCTGGTGGCACAACTTTCTCTACACACTGAGTTCAATCCATTCCACCTGAAGTAATAATTTTATGGGGTACTGTGTAACACAGCTTCTTTATGTGTAATTAGTGCCTTATCCTTAGGAAGTCACTAAAAATGTAGTCAGAGAGGATTTATTTGGGATAAAGTATAATAGTTTATTCCACTTTCCATTTGGTCTCCTTGTCACTCATTTCTTCGGAATCTCTCTCTGATCTTCTGTGTAGCATTGCAGCCCGGCTGACAGCTCTAAGTTATCTTAGTGATTGCCATACTCCTTTTGGGTTTTTTTCTTTTTGTACGTGTGCTTGCTATCTCTCTTCCAGGATTTATTAAATGTTTCTTAGCTGAAGTTCATAATAACCTGCCATTTATTCCATTAGCTGTTTCAATGTTCTAGGACAGAGGCTGCCTGAGTCACCTGACTTTTCTCTTAGTGAGTTGTCTCAGTTTTGCTGCCTTTTCTTCTTTCTTTTTTTTTTTTTAAAGGTGCTTTTATTATTTGCATTCCTAATTTCCCATACTTTGTTACTGAGAACTGATACTGTTGCTTGGTACTGGTCTATAGGTTACTCTTTATCCTTGGACTATAATGCACCTTCCTGCTTTCTTTTTCTTTGTGTGCTTTAGGTGTCTTTTGTTATTTCATTTTAAATTTCTGAGCCAGTTGTGTCCCAGCTAGGTTTTTGGCCCGTGATTCTCTGTATCCATGACATCTATCCACTGGGTTGCAGGTTTCCTTGCCAGTCAGCTGCTTTCATATTATTTTTATATACTGTTCTTCCTTGTGTGATCCTGGTTAAAGTATATTATTTTGGAGAAGGCCTATAGACCTTTTTCACCTTTGGTTCAAAGGGGAAAGTCAATAATACACTTATGGCTTTGAATAATTATATGCTTGCTCTTTACCTGAGCTTCTGGGAAAAGAAATACATCTTTTTGAAATCTCACACCATAGTCTTTAGGCTGGCTTTTGACAGTCCAGCAGTTTAGGTGAACTCATGATCACTTAGTCCAAATTTATTTATTTCTTAATCTATTTTTTTAAATTTATTTATCCTGAGACCAGTGGATCTGCAAAATCATCAACAAGCATCCCTTATCTTTGTTTCACAAAGTTCTTGGTAAGGAAGTCTGTGCTCCACCTCAGCTAGAAATACCCAGCTTTGCTGTTGTTGGTGTTCAGTTTTTCTCTGGGGATTTAAATCCTTGTTACTCCCACACAATCTGTAATAGCAGAGATGCTATTCACAGCCAAGTCTGACTTGTAGTTGTACTTCCAAGGTAGCCTTTAAACCATCCTGACATGTGATAACCTTCAGGCAGGCAGTTTTTCTCCCCTTTCTCCCCCCCACCATGCTTGTCACCATTTTTTTTTCCGTGCAGTTTCTTGTCTCCACAGGCACTAGCAGGAGTAGCATGCAGTGCCATTTGCACAGAACTATTTCTATTTCTTACACTTGCCAGTCACATTCCATCATCTGCCATGTATTCCTGCAATGCCAGGTTTCCTGCCCTGGAGCAGGAGTTTCAGTGCTGCTGTGCATCACTGTGCAAACATTCTCCTTTTGTTTCTGGGTAGTTTGGTAGGGGTCCTAGCCACAACAGCTGCATTTCGTGTGTTGGCTCTATCTCCTTCCTTATTTCTGATTTTTTTCTGTTGCTGAAGACACATGCACTTCATTGTTATTCCTCTTTCTACAAATATCTATATCTGCTTTTACGGGGTGCAGTTTCCCACCACCCTGCCCGATCATTTTGGCACAAGATGTGTCTCACTGGTCAATGAACCCAAATTCTAAGAGTTTCCTGTAGGATACAGGAGGCCAATTCTTGAGAAAGTCCTTGTCCCTTAGTGCCTTCCTCACATGCGTATGCTGAAATCACTGTGCTTTGGGCTGCAGTACTGATTAGTGCCAAGTCTTAGTCTTCCTTCTGTAGGGACTGGCAGAGGGCCAATTCTTGAGAAAGTCCTTGTCCCTTAGTGCCTTCCTCACATGCGTATCCTGAAATCACTGTGCTTTTTGATTAGTGCCAAGTCTTCAGTCTTCCTTCTGTAGGGACTGGCAGAATCTTGATGAAAATCACCTCAACTTTTTCTTTGAGTATTTCTCACCCGGGCACTGGTCACTTTCATAATCTCTTTTCCAGCATAAATAGTCTACAAATATATGTCTTACATTTGTCCTGCCTCTTCTGCTCCTGCTGGCCTCCTCTTCAAGCTTTGGTATGAAGTTGTAGGAGCAGATCTGTGCTGCTGTAGTTTCTCCTGGCATTTGGCACATCCTGGACAATGGCTGTCAAGGATGATTTTCCTCCACTTTGAAGAGCCACTGGAACAGGGGTTATTACCCAGGCTGCACGGGAAGCAGACCTGCTGGAGGGCTTTCTAGGTAAGCCTTGTCCTTTGCAGTTTTCTGCTTTACACTGAAGCTGCAGATGGTCTTCCACAGGGACATAAGATCTGCCCTCTTTTGTCCTTCCCGCAGGAGTGCACGTGTCCAACCGAATCCTCAGGAAGCAGGGACAGAGAAGGTCGCCCTGCCCGTCAGAGCTGGGCCAGAGCCCTGGGAGCAGAGGTCCTTGGCAGAGGCAGCCCAGAGGGACTCCCAGATTCACACTGTTCTGGGAACTGGAGCAGCATCTCAGGGACTCTGTAGGCAAACATAATTTAGAAGTTGAGTTTTGACACTGCAGTGCACTATATAGTTTTGTTAGCTAGGATAATGGCATTAATTGGTTCAGAATTAACATTGCATTCATTTAGGGGATGATGATGAAGCACTAGCGCTTACAAAACATGCTGCTTTGGACCACAAAAATCTACTGCCAGGTGCTAATTTTTGCAATCAGAGCACCAAGCTGCATTATATCAGCATTTTGTACTGCCAAGTCTTAAAACAGCAAATGAATCCTTTCATTTCAGAATTTACTGAACTTACAACTCTACTTACTGAGTCAGGAAGCTGGTAACCTGTTAGGGTAGAAAATAACAAAAAATATTTGCATAATGAAAATGCCTTAAAGGAGTTTTAAAACTATATTTTATACATACATACTATGTTTTATACATACATTTGTAAGGGTTTCTGTTTTTAGCTATTTAGTTTTCTATTTAGAAAGGATTAAAATCTTAGAAGTCTATGGAGTGTCTCTAATTTGAAGTGTTAAAAATTCAGATGACATTTTTGAATATTCAGCAGAACAGTCTGATTTGTGTCTGGGGTCATTAGCTCCCAGCTCATTCCCGGACAAGAATATCTTGTGACCCAAATAATATTTTTTGTCTTCTATTTTACACAACTCAATTTAAATTTAGTGCCTATTTTTCCTGTATGGTGCTTACATTTTTCAAAAAGTTTAGCTTCAGTAATATATAAGGAGAGCCACAAATTTGCTATATCACCATGGTAAAATCTAAGCAGGAAAGCATTTTATTTATAAAACACTTCTTGGTGTTATCTCTTCTACTCTGATAATTAAGTCTTCTTGTCCCACTGGACAGTTTTTTTGTCACTGTTAATTAGCTCTGTCATGGAAGGCAGCTCTTAATTTTGTAGCACCTCTCTCTAGGTACTTGTCATTACAGTAGCCTGGAACTTGTGCTTGGCTTCATCTTGTTCAGCAAAGGCTCTCCAGCCTCTTGGAGCATTCATGGACACCGTATGAAAAAAGGCTAATGAAAACAAAATTGATAGCAAGCTTAGAGCTGGTGCATAGCTTTTTGGGGCCTTTTAAGGCTTATGAGCCTTTCAAGGTTCATTGAAAAACCAGAACTTAATTAATTTGGACCCGGTGACTTTCTTGAGCACTTTCCCTCTAATGTTTTATACAGCGCAGATTTACAAACTCTGAATTTCAGTGCTAAGAGTCCAGTATAGTCAGTGGTGTCACTTACAATGTAAGATATTTAAGAAGTGTGCAAAAATCCACTACAAGCTCTGCAAGGCTCTCCAGTGGCTAGTGGTGTCTTGTGTCAAGTCAAAAACCAGTTGACAGTCACCAGTCTTACATTGTTCACTTCTGTGATGTGCAAAATCTTGGCCAACTCCCCCGTGGTCAGAGACATGTTCTGCTTTTCATTTATAACTGCACCCAGCACAGCAAGAGTGGAGAACATCTTAGAAATGTGCATGATGTGGCTTTTCAAGAGGCTTGCTCAAATACCATAATCACTTTTATGTAAGAATAAACTCTGGCTGACTACTCTGTTTTGTGTTTTAGCCAGCAAGACCAAAAAGCAGATATTTGTCAGCTACAATCTTCAAAACACAGACAGCAATTTCACCTTACTCATAGAAAACAGGATCAAAGAAGAAATGACAGCTTTTCCAGACAAGTTCTGATTGTGCATCATTGTAAAAAGAAGATGAAAGTTTTGTTTCAGAAAAACTTACTGCAATTTTCACACTGACATTAAGTTAGTACATTTCTTTTGTATTGTTTTGATTGAATTTGTGGTTGTTATTAAATATAGATACACTTGACTAGGATTTTCTTTTTTTCAAATAGAATTTGAATTTTCAAAGCAAATTTTTTTTTTTTTTTGCTACCCTGCCAAGTAGGATAGCAAACGGATGCTGCAATGGGTGAACATGATTAAAAAAGTGCATGTGGTGTGTGGCCTCCACACAGTACTGGGATCTGATGGCAAATCAGTTCCAAATGCTACCTGTACAATTAATCTATTGTGTACTAGGACTAAACATAGTATAGCAGCTTTTAATGTTCAAATAAAGAAACTCCACATTTTTGTATGGTAAAGCTGTGACATGAGTGTTACTTTTGTCCTTTTAGCCCCTCTTGGCTGTAGTATTGGTGCTAAACAATGGATTTCCTTCCATCCCTTGGGCACTTAGAACACGAGAAGGATTTCACAAAGGGTAATTTATGCATCCCTGAGGACTACATAGCAGGAAAAAGCACAAGCCAAGTTCTGGAGCAATAGATAAATCTGTCATGCTGCTAGAAGAGCATCACATGTAAATTGAGCATATACATAAAATCAGAGAGGTCTACTACCATGACCACCAGTGAAAAGCATCCTGCTGCTACATCTCTGGCCTTGCTTTCAGATACGATGGGTATCTTTTCAAAGGCAGATCCATTGGCTGTTTTGTTTAATGAGATGGCAGCCAGGAGTTAACTATCCAGGTTTTCCAGGGTTTTGGTGGTTGTTTTCTTTCATTCTGAGTTTAGCCCTGACTGGAGCTCAAGCATCAGCTGCTGATACAAACCAAAACTACCTAAACTGGCGCTGCTTCTAGACAACTCTGTCCTAAGCACCTACAGAAAAGCGATGGATTTACCTTGCTGTGGTGCCACAATCAGGAATTAAAACCTCTAACTGAGAGGCTGCTGCTGTAGAAGGCACAGCTGCTGAGTCTCTTGTCCAAAAGTGTTTGAACATCCAGTGGCTTCAGGGTCTCAGATCTGGTGTAGATGCAGAGGGCCCCTCCTTACCTGGTGGGAACAGCTGCCTGTCCTTGGCTGCAGTTCAAGATCAGAATAGCAAAAAGCAACAGTTGAAGGGTATTTTCTTTTTGATACACACCACTGAGGAAACAGAGTCAACTATGCTTCTGTAATTGACTGTAAAGGATAATTACTTGCAAATCAATGTGCTGTTTTAATTAGCCTGATTTACAAACAGCTCATTCTGTTTGTAGAGCAGGGCAGGGCTATTTGCTGAGGCATCAGCTGCTGCTGGGTGTTTGAGAAGTCACTGCAAGGGAGCCAGACCAGGGAGAGAAAATGGATGGGACAACGTCATTTTATTCTGTACATTTACATACAAAGTTCTTCTCAGTAGGTACAACAGATGTAACATCATGCAGACATTTAGCTTGTAAGACTGTTTTCAGTACTTGATTTAAGCTTGTGCTATGAGGAAGCACCACCAGACTATTCATGATCAAAACATACAGTAACACGATTCTTTAAAACTTCATCAGAAACTGAAATGGGGAGGGAGATCTCGCCCACTAGACAAAACACACTGTACTCCTTTCCCGAAACATTTTACGCAATACATTTAAAATGAGGTTTGTAATTTCATTTTTGTATTAAAAAATAAAATAAAAAAAAAGTTGCAGTGGGGGAGATCACCCCCCCACTCAATAGTGTTGTCTTATGTGCCAGCTACAGGCGCAACTTGACTTGACATTCACAGAGTTCAGTTAATGGCACTTCTGCTTCCAATTTGGTGACCAATAAATTGTTTGTCTCCAGAAAGTGGCAACAGTTAAGTAAAATACTTCCACTAAAAAGGATGACAACAAAAAAAGCCTACTCAGTGAAACCCAAAAGTAAATCACACAACCCCCTTTCAGAGTGGCCACAAAACACTTGCAAACAGGTGTTGTCTGTTTGCAGCGTGTCTGGCAACAAAAGCAGTACTGAAATCTTACAAGGGGGACAAAACCCCCAAGATCAAGCATAATGTCACTTCACATTTTTGTTTGAACTCACAAAGATGGAGAAAGCCCTTAAATGGTAAACCCAAAATAAAATCTACTGATGGGCTTAGAGGTTACTGAAGGTTCACAGAAAAAGGCCAAAAATGGACAAGACAGCTTGGACTGCTTCCCCTGTTGTGGTGGCCAGAAAGAGCCGCCTGAGAAAAGCCTTTCCTGGTGATGGCTGCAGAGGAGACATGGCCAAGGAGCCAATGGTGCAGCGGGCTGGGACCCCAGCAGAGAGCCCTGTCCTACTGCGGGACTAGACAAGGCAGGGCAAGCATCCCCACGCTTCCTTTCTGCCCTGCTGCATCACCTGGTACCTGGCTCCTCCACTCTAGATAGGTTTAGTGAAAGCTTTCCAACTCCATGAGCATGTGTGGAAGAACAAAATCATCACAGAAGTGTTCATGTTTTCAGGAAAAGGAACAAAACTAGAACTGCCAAGGCAGGAAGTTAGTTTTTGCTTTATTGTTGTGACAGAGGCAGAGGGCCAGACTGACTAGAGAAGATGGGGCTCCCTTCATTGCAGATCAGTACTGACTACCTGGTTTCAAGCAAAAAAGCAGCAAATCAAATCAACTTCATAAGACTTTTTTCTTAACAAAACAAACAAAAATTGCTGCACGTTCCTGTCACCTAATGTATTTGTTATCTAAATGTTGATATGTTTAAACAAGTATTCTTTTCCCTGTGCCTGTCTGTCATCGGAGAGCAACCACCAGAACAGGAAACGATAAAGTGCTGTGGACAAGAGCGGTGAGCTCACCAGGAGCACTGACAGTGCTGGAAGCAGCCGGCTGTGCGGGCCTGTGCGTGGTCTGCGGGAGCTCTACCGCAGCTTGAGCACCCGGGCCACGAGAGGACCACAAAGGAAGGAGCCACTGGCTCCACAGCACGATGGATGGCAGGGCGCTGCTTTCTGCCTCTGAGCTCGCACCTTCTCCTCTCTCAGGCCCTTTCTCTCTTCCCTGAAGCCTCATTTTGCTTCTTCAGCTTTTTGTTGTGAACCCATTTCTTTCGTCCCCGGATGTGTGTGGCTTGCAACAAGCATCTCACATCGAAGGCAAAAGGTATTGCACAAATTTGGTGTGTGAATACTGCAGGAGTGGGGAAGGGCTGGTTTCTTTCCTCAGGTGAACACAGACTGCAAATGTCTCAGCACAGAACAAAAAGAAGCAGCTGCACTCGAGCCTGACAATAAAACTCGAGTGTCAGGAAGATCAGGCTCTTGCTGTCACAGCAAGTTTAGCAAAGGTGAAAAAAACCAGTAGTGTAACTCTGGGCAAAACTACCATCAACTGGTCCAGTGTTTCTTACCAGGCTCAAGAAGAACCCAAATGTCCACATCATCCTCTGTAAAAATTAGCAGCTTTAGGACAACATTGTTAGTGTGAATGCAACCCCCTCTGTTGCTTCTGCAGGTCTGCCTGTCCCCTTGCATCCGTCAGCGTCTGAGGCTGTGCTACCTTACCGCATGGCCTGCCGGGGAGCATGGGTCTCTGATTTATTGGGAACTGTAAGAGGACATTGGCAGCCTAATGGAGGATGGAAATTGTTAGGTA